AGGGTGACCCAGAGGTGTGTGTGTGGGGGGGGGGGTGATCACACATGGGAGAACCTTGTCAAATGAGGCATGGGATGGCTACTGAAGGGGTTGGAGGGGGGGTTATGGGGTTGGTAGTTGGTAGTACGAAGGGGGGAGCTTTTGGGAAGTGTGGGGGGAGGGAATTTAAGACAAGGGAGAATTAAGGAGCAGTAGAGGGGGGTTAGGGGGGTTGGGACGGTAGTAGTTAGTAAGGTTTGAGGAGGGAGGTCGGGGATTTAGCACGGGATCAAGGAACAGATCAGTATTACGTCGATATGTTAGTACAACGGCTCGTTCTGGGCACCATGTGCTATCTAGTGATTTGTGGCGGCTTCTGTGCGACTAATCTGGAGAATTCATCCTTGATCGGGCCCAGAGCAGGTCCTGGTTATGTGATAGATAGGGTTTCCGTGCAATTGTACTCTGAAGTCACAGCAATAGAAACTATACGGGCAAACAATCAACGACGATACAATAGGACACAAACTAGGAAACAAATAAGTACATGTACGCCTATTTCAACACGCACACATGTATTTCATTATTAGGGAAAAAAAGAGTGGGGCAAATATTTGTACACTTATACACTTATGCTAGTTATACAACAATTGATGTAGTGAAATTGTATTTTAATCTGTATACTGCAAATACGTTTAAAAATGTGAGGCAGAGTGGTGGAATCAGGCTGTCGCCAAAATAATCAAAATGGAGAAACTTGCATTTTTCTGCAGGTTTGTGAATTTTCATCAAATTTTTGTTTTTTGATTCAACACCTTTCATGCCCATTAAAGAACTCATTTCAGTGTGGATTTTTCTGAAAAACGTTGATTAAAGGTACAAAAAATGTAAATTTTCGGTTGTAATGGACTCTTAAGCTAAGGAAATAACTAACCTTTGGCAGCCATTTTCTCACTAATGTTACCTCTGAAAACAGGTGACCCCCACCTTCTTCTTTCGTAAATATCTCGACTTGTATTCAAGATAAATGGATATTTTTTTCATCCAAATAAAGGAGAGTGAACAAGCTTTAAGATGATACCAATAACTCTACATGCCCAAAAATTGACGAGAGCCTGATTCCACAACGCTGTCTCACAAATATATTTATTGTCGCATCATTACTCCACAAATAGCACTTTATTCTACAAACAAACCAAAGACAGTCAAACGAACCCCCCAAAAAAAAAATAAATTTAAGGGAAAAAAAACACGAACAGACGAGAAGCCTGGCATAAGAAAGAAGTCAGTTTTTCACTCGGTAATCTAGCTTACCATTCCGGCGTCTGTCTCGTAAGTGGATAGGTGCTTCGCCATCGTCCGAGGTAGACCTGAGTTCGATTCCCGTGTACTGAGACTTTTTTGTTGTTCTTTTTTTTTTTTATTAAGTCGTTCCGTCTGTTACTGTTTGCAAGGACATAGCATCCCGTTCAGCCCAGATCGATTCTAATTTGTAAGGTGGAAGCTTCCTAAAATTATATCAACGTAGACCTACATGTATAGCCAATATATATATGTATATATATATCACACACACACACATATATATACACATGTATAGTAGTTTCCTTCCTTTGCATATCTTGCCTTGCGTTCGTTTGCCCTCAGGGGTGACGTATCACAAAGACACAGCTGCAGGTGCACCTCCTCCGGACACAGACAGTTTGTTTTCAGACCCCACTCTCTCTAACAGGTATTTTTGACGCAGTTCACAATAATAAAATTAGTCTCACTTTATTTCCCATGAACCACTAACCTTTTGACCTCTGAACGGACCTTTAAGGTGTCTCAAAACCCGCACAACAAAGTCAAAGCCATGAAGCCCACGACGCCATGTTTGTACTGAGGATTTTGTCTGACGCTATATGTGCTATAAATAGAACAATACACGTCAAGTAGTACGTAGTACTAGATGAAAACATCGTCATGCCCCCGCCACCTCATCCTTTGCTGCTTCTCTCTCTCTCTCTCTCTCTCTCTCTCTCTCTCTCTCTCTCTCTCTCTCTCTCTG